CGACGATAGGGGCGAATAGCCCAGGGGCGGGCATTACATGTATTCGCTTGGGGGCCTTTTTTCGAAGACATAGATCATCGGCGAGCCTGAATCCATGTATTGCTCTCCCCTGGGCTATTCGCTCCTATCGTTCATAGGTCCCTACAACGGTCTATTTCTTTACGTTGCTCTCGGGATTTCAAAACCACGGTAAAACAAATGTGCGCGGCGCTACCACGAGAACTGCATTTTGATAAGGAACCGCCCTCAATCCGTGAAGCTCTTGCAACATGTTTGAAACGAATGTGCGCGGCGCTAAAACCATAACCACATTTTGAAAAGGAGCCGCCCTCAATCCGTGAAACTCTTGCAATTCTTAAAACGAATGTGCGCGGCGCAAAGGCGAGAACCGCATTTTGAAAACGACCTGCCCTCAATCCGTTAAACTCTTGCAGATTTTCAATACAAGTGTACGGGGCGCTAACGCGAGAACCGCAATTTGAAAACGACCCGCCCTCAATCCAAGAAATTCTTGCAAATGTTTGAAACGAATCCGCGTGGCGCTAAAACGAGAACAACATTTTAGAAAGGAACCGCCCTTATCCGTGAAGCTCTCACGACTTCTTGTAACGAATGTGCGCGGCGCAAAAGCGAGAACCACATTTTGAAAACGACCAGCCGTCAACCCGTTAAACCCTTGCAGGGATTTCATACGAGTGCGCACGGCGCTAAGGCGCGAGCCTCATTTTTGAAGAGGCCCACAAGCACACAAAGGAATACACACAAATAAAACCATTCCCCACATTTTCTCTCCCCTATTTTTTCTGAGGTCTTGTCTTCCCCACCACCTCCCCCATGTTTTCCCATGTTTTTTCCTGGGGGACCGACGATTCATTGTGCCTCTGTGTGTCTCTTTCCCTCCCGAAGTTTGAAACCGCCTGCCCTCCACGCGCGAAGCTCCTGTTACGGTGGTCAGACGCTGCAGAGACACACACACACGGCGAGGAGGCCTCCCGCGACACGGCCGCCCCCGCGCCAAGACCGGCCCCGGGGTGCGACGGGGAGAGGGAACCTTCGGGCCGGGCGAAAGGGGGGGGGGATAGCAAAGGGGGGGTTTGAGAATCAGCTCACGTGGCTGATTTTCTCGGCGCCTCCCGGCGCCGGGAGGCGCCCATGTATCGAGGAATGGGCCCGGCGGCGGGGCCGAAACCGGCTGCATGCAGCAGATTTCGTAACCCCCCCTTTCCCAATCCCCCCCTTTCGCCCGACCCGAGAACCTCTAAGGAGAAGGAGCGGAGGAGAAGCGACTCGTCAGGGCAAGGAAGGGGGGAGGAGGAGGAGGAGGAGGAGGAGGAGGAGGAGGAGGAGGAGGAGGAGGAGGAGGAGGCCCAGGAACGTGGCCGAACTGTGACAGCCAACGCTGCGGCGGAACGCAAGCCCCGCAGTCCGAGGCAGCGCCGGGAGCGGCAGGGCGCGCGCCGCCGAGCCGGCGCGGGGAGACGCGGCCCGGGGCAGGGCAGGGCCAGCGCGCTCGGGACGGCTGGGCCCAGCCCAACAGGCCAGCCCCTCGGACTCGAGAGCAGGCGCACCACGGGTGGCTCCCAGCGGTCCCCCCTCCGAAGACACCTTTTGGTCGGCGGGGCGGGAGCGACCCTCTTCCGAAGTCCCCCCCCCTCCGCAGGCGCGCCAGCGGCAGTGTGGGCAACGGCGATCTGGCGACGTAGGGAAAGTGTGGCTCGTGATTTCCTACAGTGTAGTTCCCAACGCCACCGCTCAGCAACATCGCCGTTAGCGCAGCCGCGGTCCCTGGCCGCAGCCAGACTCTGACCTGTCGCCGCGGCAGCTGCGGGACCAGGCCAAGACAGCACACAGCCACAGGGCGGGACAGCATCGTAGCGGGAGTGGCGTATCTATCGGGGATTGACAGACCTCCCTTTAGTAAAACGTGGTTTGGTGAAAATGACCGCGGGTCCAATCCTGGCGGGCGCAAGCCTGGAAAATAACGGCCGCGGCGTCCTCTCGAGAACCGAAAACGGACAATTCACTAATCGACGTGTCACTGTTGGGGTCTCTGTCCACCTCCGAATCTAGAGCGAAACCTGCGCGTCTGGCAGACGGCCGTAGGAACGACTGGCAAGACGCTTAGGCGAAGTAACAGACAGGTTAAGCTCGCCGAGTATCACAAGGCCACCAAGGCAAATGACACCGATGGCGGCTGAAGAGGTGATCCAACAGCTAATCCGGAGCATCTGAGCTCAGACTGTTGCTGCCCCCTTTGCTGTTCTTGCCACAACTATTACGACGACGACATTTACAACAACTGCAACTACTGCTTTTGCTGCTAGTTCACCCACTGGGGGTGGGGGCACGGGAGGAGGAGACGCGGGGACTGTACGGGAGGAGGAGACGCGGGGACTGTTTCTGCAAAACGAGGACCCAACACCACATGATGGTTGGGAACAAGCAGATGATTTAGTATTCTTGTTGGGGGCTGGGCCTCGGCCGTTTCCGATCGAATTCC